CACTTAGATCAATCGGCTTTGCCACCGATCCCATAATGGGATCGGGGTGAGGAGAGGCCACAGGGCAGCACCAGCCGCAGAGCAGGAGGGCTCCTGAATGGAACCCACCCCCCCCAGACACCCCACGGCCTCACCTGGATGATGGTCTGGACTCTGCGGGTCGGGCTGGCAGGGGTCCTGCTGGAGGCCTCCATGGCGCCCACGCGGAGACACTGGGCACTCTCAGGCACGGGCTGCTGCCGGAAGAAACAGGACGTCAGCGCAGGTGAGAGCGCTGGGCACGGCTCTGCTGTATTCCTCTCACGCATCCGTGCCGGCAGCCTGAGCGCAACCCCCACCCCAGCCCTCCCGACGTTTGCCACCCGGAGGGTTCCCCTCACGAGCTCCAGGGTCGCGGCAGCAGAAGGAGCCGGCGCGCTGGCTCAGCTTTGGGAGGGTGGCGAGGGAAACGCACACTCTTATCGCCAGGAGTGATGGGCAGCTGGACTCCGACGGCGGTAGGCGGGCAAGGACAGGCGAGGCCACCTTTCAGCTGCGCCCAGCAACGTCTGCCTGCCTGCGCGTGCCACGGGCGACTGTCCCCGGCACCCAGACGCACACCTCTGCTCCCAGCAGCAGCGCCTCGGGGTGCACCCTGCCTGCGCCTTGGCTGGCTCGCACACGTGCCCACAGCAGGCGGGCAGGGCTGCTGCCCGCGGGAGCTCGGAGTGGGCAGGAGGCGGCTCGGCTCGGAACGATTTTCGTCACCCGGCTCTCACGCCACTGTTGCAGCCCAGGATGCAGCCCGGGGTTACTAAATTTACTGTCTGCTGCTCCCCATGTCCCTCCCTTCCGCCCAGGCCTGGCCGAGCGTGGCTTAACCCTTCCTGGGAAGGCTGGGGCAGCCGAACGGGAGTGTGCTCCCATCCCCATCAGGGACCCTGGTCCTGGGGCAGACGGGGGCACTGGGAGGAGCCCTGGGCTCGGGTCCCAGCAGCATCAGGCGCTGTCTCACCAGCCGCAGCGTCCCGCAGGGCGCGGGACCCCCCCTGGCTCGGCCAGCATGGGGCTCAGCTGCGGGGGCGAGCAAGCGGCTATTACACACTGCGGAAAAAATGAAATGCTGGAAAACACCAGGCGTGGGATCCAGGGCTGGGATGGAGCCCAGGCAGCTCTGCACGACAACAGGGCTGGCTGCCCCACAACAAGGGCTCAGAAAGGACCACAGCTGCCCCACGGCAAGGGCCCCATGGAGACCACAGCTGCCCCACACGGGATGGGGGCAGCGGGAAGCAGAGACACAGGACCCTGGGAGCAGCTCCCCTGCGCCCATCGGCTGCTGAGGCAGGACCCCCGCCTTCCCTTACCTGCCACCTGGTCCTGGCCCGGGCGCCAAGCGGGACCCTCCATGGCAGGGTGCCCATGTCCCCCAGGAGCGGAAGGGTTGCGCTTCCCAGCATCTGGAGACCCCGCAGCCCAGCAAAGCAAGCCCCTGCCCCTCGGCTGCGCCCAGGCCCTGCTACAACTTCTGAGAAGGAGGAAAAGCCAGGAGGGGCCGGGCTGCTGCATAGGAAGGGAGCGGGGCCAGGGTGGGATCCTGCGCAGGCATTAACCCCTTCCCAGCACGGCTGTGTCGCTGGAGCTGGCTGAGCATTGTGGGGGACCCCCGGTCCTGCCACCCAGGACATTGTCCCTGCTCCTGCCCATCTCCTTCCGCCCAGACTCACTCCCCGGACAGCTCTACTTCTCCCTGAGCCTCAGGCATCTGGCTGCTCCCCGACGTCCACCCCACCAGCCCCTGTCCCCGGCCCCTCACCGGCTCCTCGCGGCGCAGGAGACGCCAGCCGTGCCCCAGCCCGTCCCTCGGGGGTGCAGCCCCTCTCGCGCTGGCTCTGCCGTCAGAATGCGGGGTGGGAGTGCGGCTGCCCCAGCCGGCGCCCCACCGCTGGGGCGGACAAGGCAGTCTTTCTTCTCCCGCCACTGCCTGCAGAACGCGCCGCTTGTTCCCGCCGTGGGAAGCGGCAAAGGCAGCAAATGCCAAAGGGTCGGGCTCGGTTACCGCCAAACAGCCCACGGCTCCCGTGCCCCCCGTGCGCAGGGCTGCCTGCTCAGCCCTGGCCTTCTGCGGCACAAAAGCCTCTTTCTTCTCCCGGCGCAGGCAGAGGCCTCACCTGGGAGGACGCCCAGCCCCGCTGACATGGGGCCCCACCGACAGCCGGGGGGCTGCAGGCAGATACGTTGCCCCATTGCTGCCGTGCTCTTGGGGAGCCCCTGCACCTCACTGCCCTCCAGTGCGACCTGTCTGCCTGCCCCACGCCCGCACGGGCAGGGGCACTTGGGATCCGCTCCTGCCTATCGAGACCCAACGGGACATGGCCCGAGCTGCCTCACACCCCGCCAGCGTGGCTGGGTGCCAGCAGCCAACGGGCAGACCCCAGAGCTGCACTGTGTGCCAGGGCACACCCGGGACACGGTCAACCAGCCCACGCTGGCGAAGGGCCGTACCAGTGCACCGGAGCACAGCCTGGCACAACCTGCCGTGCCCGCCCTGCGCTGCCAGCCATGCAGGGAGGCAAGGGGCAGGCGCATGGCAGCCCACGGCCCGGCTTTTCCTCCCTGCCCCTGGGAGTCGAGGGAGGAAGCCAGAATGGCCAAGCTAGTGGGTGCGCACCACGCAGCATCGCAGCCTCTGTCCAACTTGGCTCCCTGCTTGCTCCCCATCTGCTAACACGCTTAAGGCATGCTTACCCCTTCCCACACCCTCTGCCCCGGTAAACAACTGGCCCTTCCGCCGGCAGCTGGGAGCGGGGAGCCCGTCTCCGGCACAAAGCCGGTGGGGAGCAAGGAGTCGCTGCCCCACACCAAGCAGGGGAGACCCCACTGGCCCCATCCCACCCGGGCGAGGGGCAGCGGGGGCTGCATCCTGGTTGCTGGGACGACGCAACGCTTCTGGCAATAACATCCCTGTAAATCAGCTGCCAGACAGCTCCGGCGGGAGCCAAGGAATCCCGGCCGCACCCGCTGATCTCAGTGCTCCCGGGAAGCGCTCCCACACCGCCCCGCACAGCTGCACTCGGCCCAGCCGGCACTGTGCTGCGGGCTGGGGATGCCCGTGGTCACCTGGGCCGGAGAGCGGCTTTCCACCACCCCACGCTCCCCGAGATGGGCCTGTGACACCGTACACAGTCCCAACTGTTGCCGGAGCTGAAGCACCGAGCCCAGTGTTGGCACATGCCTTTGGCCACCATGTCAGGGACTAGGAAACCACCACCACCGAGCAATGGAACAAGGGAGACTTATTCCTCACAGCCTCCTTGCAGCAAATGAGTTTCTCCTCTGTGGGGCAGGCGCTTGGCTCAGCTCAGCAAGGAGCATGTGTGGCTCCTGCCAACGACAGCGTTGGGACCACAGCACATGATGGGTTTGGTGGGTCTGGGATCCAGTCCCTGGCACAAACCCATCACCCAACCCTGCGTTCTCTGGGAGCGGGGTGGGGGCGTCTCACCTCTCCGAAATAGGTATCGCTCGCTCCTTTCTATCATCCAGCCGTCGGCAAGCGCCTCCTTGTCCTGCAAACCAGCGGCTCCATCGCCTGCGCAGCGCCCTGCCCGCTGTGGCTCCGCGTGCCAAACCCAAACGTACGAGGAGTTGCCAGAAAAATGCTGTGGCCACGCTGCCCGGCGTCTGCGCTGCCTGCGGCGCCGGCGAGGGCTGGGGGCTCGCAGGGCAGCCGGCCCTTCGGCGCAGCAGCTGGATTCCTTCTGGGGCTGCCAAATTCCTCAGGCTTTCTGGCAGCGGCGGAAGCGGCCGTGGCGAGAGCGTGTCAAGGAACCGGAGTGCACAAGGTCCCGTGGCGGAGCAGGGCCCGGACAGGCCAGCGACATTCCCAGGCTCCCTGAGGCGTCGGGGTCAGCCTCAGCCCAAGCGCCGTCCTCCCCCGCAGCCACCCCCGAGCCGCAGCGGGTCT